CATACATATATATATATATATATATATATATATGTTTGTACGTTGCTAAGACACTTAAAGCAGCCAGCCTCAAGGCCCGCCGCCCGCTTGCCTAAACTTTTGGCCTGCGCATTCTGGCGATAAGTGTTATTTTCAGCTGCCAGCTGTGATTCTCTAGAAAAGTTTCATGTTACCAAAACGACATGGGCCACAGCCCAAGCAGTCCCCATACATCACACCAACGCCCATATCCTCTATAGCCTGCGCCTTTTCTTGTTACTTTGTGCCCATATGTGTGTGTGTGTGTGTGTGTGTGTCAGCTATAAATTTCTTTATCACAATGGGCCACCGATAAGTCGGTGAAATTTGTCCGCTTTAAACTGCTGCATTTCGAATGCTCCTATATAAGTATATAAACTCCTGCTGCATAAACTTTGAGCATCAAATAAAAAAAAAAAAAACTTTGCTGCGTTGTTCATTGAATCAAATTTCTTCGCTTTCCTCTTTTTTTTACTTTGGTTAAAGAAAAATATGTGGTACATGCGGGGCAAAAACTCATGACTCATTCAGTGCATATCAACGTTAATAGCACTTAACTTTCGCACTTTGGCAAAGGCGTTTGTAGTCCCCGTTGCCAGGCGAGACGCATATGCTTGAGTTTAAGCTTTGGCTTCATCTAATTTTCATAAGGCCAAGTGGAATTTTGACTCACGAAATTTACTTGAACCATCGCCTCAAGTGGTGGCCAACGAAGCGGTAATTTCACAGGGGCTTCGAAAATGCCACAAGACCAACATCAATTGAATTTATTTCGCCAGCGGGTTCCACCATATCATAAACAGCATAATTTGAGTAATATGCATATTAAGTCGGGCAAAGCTTTCGCTTTGCATAAGAGAGCTAGGTAACACAAGTATTTGGCCTTGTTAACGTTTCTAATATACATTTATTTATTAATATTTTTATTGTGTACACCTTATTGCTTTTTTAAGATTTCTTGTACTTATTTCTGGGCAATCGTTTAAATTAAGAATTTGTTTTACCATTTATTAAATTTTTTAAACTTTCTTACCAGGTTTGACTTTTAGGTTGAAAACAACAAATGTTGCCAGGTTTCAATTGTATTAATTTATTGATGCCCTTCTGTGCGATTCTCAAGTATTCAAGTGAGATTTACAGGCGCTCATGCTCCGATTGTTTATTGTTATTTTCTCTTCTCGTATATCAAATGCAAAACAAATTAGATTACTATGTGATTAAAATGCATTCAATGGAGGCTTCCATATTTTCATGCTCATTATCAGGTTTTGTTGTCCATCTTTTTAACTGCACTTCCAATTTAATCCCTTGCACTCTATCTTTCTCTCTATCTCTTACTCTTAATTTACTCCTATGTCTTTCTTCTGCTGCGACTGTGCCATTGTGTATATATAAAAGTATGTCCACCTTTAAACAGATGGCATCGAAAGTATCAGGTGTATCTACAATAAATATATGTTAAGTCAACTGACTTTGGGCTATGTCCAAGTATGCTGATCAGTTTTTACTCTCCTGTCATGTTTATTTTTTTCTTTCAGAATTATCTTCTTACTGCATTTATCATAATAATTGAAAGAGTATTGAATTTAATCTAGTCAGCCCAACCATTTCCCCATAAAAATTCCTTTTGCCAGTTTTCTCATCGTAAATTTAGAAACTATATTTATAGTTAGGGCACAAGTCTGCTTCGCTTTTCAGCTCTATTATTTTAACTTTTCCTTTGTTGTACTGAATGCTCTATATATTTATTGTTTTTTGCATGCAGTTTGTCAAAAAGTTTAACATTGTTTTGCTCTCTGCTGTTGTCTTTGGTTTTGTCCCACTTTTTATTTAACGGACAGTTTATAAACTGCGCCACACAAGTGTGCACAGATTTTTATGGGTAATAATTTATAGGCCAGTTTTGGGGCTCACTGCTCAGAGGAAAGACTTAGCGATGCTCAATTTGTGCAGCCATTTTGTATTATTAATGGTTGGCATTGTTGTAGCTGGCAACTGGTAATTCGCAACTGGATGGCTTTCAAAGTATTTTCTTTAAACTCACAGAAATGGAATTTGTGAAAATGCATTTCTCCATTGTGGCCGGATGAAAACGAACACGAAAGCATTTTCATATCCCTATGCAATTGTGGTGTGAAGATTTTGGCTGCCTTTTGCTATGGTGACACATGCCAAAAATGCGACTGCTATGAAACCGGAAACGAGCAACAGCAACGACTACAACAATAACAGCACACAATAGATAGACGTCAACCATTTTGTGGGCATTTTGTGCACTCAACTGTACCAGCTGCTGTCTGTGCACATTGTCCCGCCCGACTGTCCCCTGCATTCTGTTTGCTTTGTTATACTGTGTATTTTATGACTTGTTATTGCCACGCCCCTGCCACAACAGAACGCCTGGCCAAGCCTTAGCAAAACTTTATGCATTCAAATTACAAAAACCAACTTTAAATGCCCTGTGGTCAAAACAGAAGGGTTTTAATCTTAGATATACCCAGTTTAGCAAACACAAATCTGGTTTCGTTTCTGTTATATTCTTGTATAGAAAGATGCTTTTAACGTTATATCTAATTTATATAAATCTTTTTATGTGTATATATATTTTTTAATCAATTATAGGAATTATTGGTCTCCCAAATTTGAGTATCTACAAACCCAAATTATTCCAATCTATATATATTATTTAAAAAGAATACTGTTAATGAACATTTTAATTTCAAAGCGAGATAGCTTCAAGTCAATCAAGTTCAGTTGCAACATTTTCTGTTACTTGTGCCACATTTTTGTTTTGGGGCTTTCTCAAGTTTGTTTTTTCACCCACTATGTCTTTATTTTAACAGCCCCGCCCCGCTACAGTCTGCATACGTGAGAAAGTAAAAACGAACCCAATAGCACTTTAGCAGGTACTATACAAAAAAAATAAGAAGACTGAAACGATCTTCCGACCATTGAAGTCCATTGCTTTTACAGGTAAAAGTGTTCGCCAAGTGTTGAGAAATGTTTTTGTTCTTCTTGTTGTCGTTGCTTTTTCCGCTTTACACTGGCTGATTTTAACCTTTTTGCCTAGTTTTTAACAGCAGGAAAGAAGTTCTCTTGTGTTCCGTTAGGTTCGCTGCTTTGTTTACGGCCAAACACAAAACAATGGCATTTTTACACATGGACGCATTTCAGGCAAGTTTCTCCAGCAGTTTCTGTTGACAACATGCATTCAACTTGAAGTTGAAGCTGCCGCTATAACTCAACCTCTTCCTGAGCTCGGACTATGACCAGGACGGGGACTCGGACTCGTATTGCATATTTAATCCATTGCTGTAGGTCTTATTGCACGCTCTAGATTTTTGCTCCTGCCGATGCTCAGCTATCCAAAAGTGAATTATTGCTAGCATCTGGCGGCAACTGCTGCTGCAACTGCTGCGGCAACTGCTGCTGCAGCATTTCAATTGGCCAAATCATTCGACTCATTGGCTCGCCTCAAACTTGAAACAGCTCCACTCTGCAGCTCTTGGCTTTTGGCTTGCCTTTGTTTGCCGTTGGCATTAGTAATACAAATTGCACAGCGAAAGTTCAACAAACTGTATTTAAATGGGGCACGCAAGAGCTAAAAAATAAGAAACACACACACGCGCACAAAGCAAGTCAGCAACAGACTTGAATTTAAAAAAGAATGGAGCAGGCAGCCATTTTGTTGCCTTTTTACAGCTATTCAGACATTTTGTGCTTGGCGCCATTTTACAATGTTATTTTTGTTTGTTTTCGTTCAATTTAAAAGCTACTTGGGTCTCATAATGTTTTCAAATATATATAGTTTCGCATTTTATGTGTAACTAAACAAAATACATCATTTTCTTGGCCAATGCGTTGATTACAGATACTAATCAGTAATCAAGGTTAATGCATCACGTTTTATTAATCAAAATTCTCTTGTGCATGCCGGAGCTCTTCTAGCCACAATTAAACCTAATTGGATACAAACTATATATGAGACGTCCTAGTTTTTCTAATGCCACAAACCATAAATTTCGAGTACGCACGCCCTGGACAGTTTCTAATGTTGAAAAAAATATGGCATGCCATTTTATAATTATATACCATTTTTAAGGCTTAAAGCCTTTTAAATGATAATGGGCTGGAACACGTTTTCTACAAAATACCATCATTATTTATGTATGTGCGTATCTAGGAATTATCATATTAATGTTATTTCGTTTAAAACGACAATTTTTTAAGTACATAAAAATCGAGTAAGTCATACAACAGAATGTACTCTCAGAAACAAACTAATTGTCCAGATATTAAAATGTATTCCATGGATATTCAATTAAACTTTTCTTTTTCAGAACTGGGTTAGCTTTATATATAGTTAGTTTTTTATTTAGAATTTTTAAGAACCTAATAAAAATGATTTCAATAACCATTAATATTAAAAAATTATTTTCCAAAAACTAAAGTTCGTTAAAAATGAGAGAAACAACGGATTTTGTTCTCTATATCTTAACTTTTCGAGCTGACCATATTTATATATTTTCATAAAATTATGCAGTTTTTAAGTTAGGTAAAGTCGTACGAGTGAAAAATAATAATTCAAAATATTAAAAAATACATAATAAATGTATTTCTGATCGTAAATATATCAATGGCAAAATTCTAGCACAAATGTACCCTTAAATTAAATCTGTAAAATTTGATCAGTAATTAATGAATTGCCTCTCATTTGATATTTAATTCATTTTTTCAATTAAGTTATCGCGCTCAATTATGCATTTCACATGAAAATTAATTCAGTTGCGTGTTATAAACAATAGCATCATATATTTAAGTAAATATTTCTCATGTGAAGGCCGACTATTTTATTTGAAATAAAGTAAATATTTGCAACTTGTTGGCTAATTGAATTGCAACGAGTTAACAAACTTGCCACTAGCCACTTTTATCATTTATCATTTAAAAATCCATTAAAAATAATAAAAGTCAGAGCTTACCATGTCAGATAAATTGGCCAAACCGCGGCGCACTTTTTGATATGCTGCAAATAAAACGGGGCAATAGGAAAAATTGATTAAAAGATTGTTTTATAAAAGAGCGGCATCGCGAATCAAATGCGCAAACAATAAAGGACCCGAAGCGCCCGATCAATTGGACCCCAATTAAAATGCTGAACACCAACTTTTATCTCACACGCCCCAGCAATGGAGGCAACAAAATAGCCACATCGAATGTACAGCGCCCATTTTGTTTATTGACTTTATCGAGTGTCAAAAATGGCATCATAATCAGAGCAGAGAAAGACGGCAAAAAAAAAAACGGCGAACACCAAATAATAATGGCGCAGCTAATGCTAGCAAAACGCTGCGCACAGAGGACACTTCCGGCTGCCATTAGGCGAGGCACTGGTTACAATTTATGGCCCAAGAGCTAAATCAAAAACTTTATGAAATCGACATAAAAAAATGCTGTGAGTAGCCCAGTCTCTATATACAACCCTCCAGCACTTCGCCCCCTTCCGCCCACATTGTATACTTATGTGCGTATTATTGACGTTGCTGTCAAATGAACCGCTAAAAAAAAAAAAAAAATAAAAAAAAAAAAAATGACGCTAGGGGATGTTTGCGACTGGGGGCAACTTGGCTGCCTGGGCTGCTTGTTACATCAACTTAAACTGCTGACAGCTGAAAAATGCTGTTCAATTTGTTTCACCAATTTTTTGCCCTCCATTTAAAATTGTATAAAATGGCGGTTGACATTTGACATGCCCCGAGCAATACCAAAGCGGGCCAACCAACGCGTTGGGCACTTTCCGCAGGCAAACAAAAATAGTGTGAAAACAATGTGGCTTAAATGGCTGATATCGAACATTGTTTGGCTTGTTCTGAGCTCTTCTCAATTGAAGATAAACATCAATTTTACTTTAAAGCCATTCAATATTTGCTTTCATTTATTAAATAATGAAAGGAACATTTATTGGCGGCTTGTCGAGAATTAAATACGCTTGCTAGCATAAGGCAAACTTATAAATGCAGCAGTCTAATCTCTTAGCCGTATTTATTTTTGAGCTTTACAGAACGTTGTCAACCTGTAAGTTGTTAACAATTAAGTCGTTTCTATGGTAGTTCTATGTAAATATATTCCGGATATTTATTTGTTTACTTGTTTTTCGCTCAGCTATTTCTAAAAGGAGCAATATGCTCGCCATGTTGTTGGCGAGTTTGGTAAAAATATATGTACAATTAGGGAATAACTTATTTTTTTTTACTCTTAAATGTGATTAAAGAAACAAAATCAATAATAAAGTTAAATGTATCAAATCATTTTTATTTTATATTGTTTAAAGTATTTACTGTTGACAACCGTGAATTTTTCGATTGCTTACTTAAAAGGAATTTTGCCAATTAACTTTTTGAACTCTTTTGAAAAAGCTCTAAACCTTTGTTCATATACTTAGTTATTGTTCCTTAGTTTCCGCACAATTCAGACAAAGGCAATTCTGCACAGTCTATGAACTATTGAAAGTTAGTCTACTTTTCATTTGTTTGTTGTTTCTTTTATATCTTTTGGCTGATTGGAAAACAGAGACAAAGAATCAATTCAAGCAAGTCCATCAAGTGCTTGAAGCTCAATAAACATTGTGCTTTCATTTGCTATCGTGGACCAAAACATAGCATTTATTCCTGATATCTGTTTGTATAGCGTGTCTTGTGCATGAGATGTGGGTTATTTGTCTACTAAGTGCGTTTATATGAGGGCAGGGGGCGATTCTATTCGTTTTGTTGGCTGGTAATTACAAAAAATAGGGCGTGGCATTGCGTTTGGGTATGACGCGGTCTGCATCGGGCACAGCTAGAAATATGTGTGCAAAACGCTCCTGAGCTGTTTTAAAGCTGAGTATGGCCGCCACATTGCCGCAACGATAGCAATAGTTGGGCGCGGACCAAACCGTGACCAGCTTCTCGTCGAACATGTACTTGAGGCCATCGTCAACCAGCTGATGGGCGCGACATATCAAACTGAGATTGTTGATAGACATAAAGTCATTTGTGACCTTGTGGCCAAATAGCCAGCCGGCACCGCGCGGACTCTGATCCCAGGCCTCAATATCCTCCGGGTCGGACCAGACCAGATCGCAGAAAGCGCCCTTATAGGGTATTTCGCCATTGCGATCGATTGTGCGTATTTGATCCAGTGTCACAATCTCCGGACTCAGTCCGCCATGCACGCAGAGCACCTGCTCGTCGATGATCGCAGCAATTGTGAGCAGATCGAAGACATTGCAGCAGTATTTCCAGCCATTCGCATTGCCGTACTTGCTGAAGCACTCGTCAAAGAATCCATAGACCTTGGTGATCTGACGCGTTTCGTGGTTGCCACGCAGCAGCGTTATCTGGCTGGGATAGCGCGCCTTGAGCGTAAGCAGCCGGGTGAATGTCTCCAGGCTATAGTAGCCCCGATCCACAAAATCGCCCATGAATATATAATTCGTATCGGGCACTTCGCCGCCGGTGCTAAATAGCTTCTGCAAGTCGTAGAACTGACCGTGTATATCCCCACATACTGTGACGGGCGTGCTTACGGGCTGCACGTTGGCCTCCTCAAGGAGTATGTCGCATATTATCTTACACAGCTTACCCAATTCATTCTCTGGCAAATACTGACACTTCTTTACTATCTCAATCCATTTGTCAACATCGCCCATTATAAGTGTCTCAATTGTGTCACTCGATACTGTTGCAGTCCAGCAAATCGGCTGGGAAAGTGCACAGCAAAAAAATAAACTGAAACGGAGCTGTTTTCCTTTCACCTCAAGTTACTCAATACTAACTTGATTTGAATAAACTCACAATAAAAGTTTAAAAAAAGTATTTAAATAATTCAAACATTATTGAAATAAATACTCTTGTTCAGACATGTTAGGAATTACAGATTGCATTTTATGGAATTTATTTATTAGTTCTTTGCAAATGTGAATTTTATTGTATTGCATTCATTCATCCTCATCAAAAGAGCTGAATGCTTTTACTGGCCCCACAAATTAAGTTGCAAAAAAATGAATTTATATAGTTGGTAAAAATGTCTGTTGTGGGAACGAAGTATTTTCTGTCGTTTGCTTTGTAAAATATATTTTTATATAATCCTGTCGTCATTTTTTTTATGAAAATATGATGAAACTATTTAATATCATGGCTAGAAACACAAAAATATTGTCAGCAGCGCGGACATTTTGCCTGCTTTTTATATTCGGTTTGTAAGTATGGTTTTTACATGCATTAAGCTTAGCTTGAGTTTGTACTATTGTAATATATATTTATTGGTTTGTTTAATGTACACAAGTCGGAAAACATCTATTACTGGATGTGGTTTTCGCTCTTCATTAAATTTAAGAGAACTATTTTTTTTTGTATTTGAACCAAACCTTTTTTTGAAGTACCATACATGAATAAACATACCTAGCATTTCCCGACGCAACCTAGTCCACGTGTGTTTTGGTTGTAATAGTAAAATGCGAACAACAGCCTCATTTAAAAGTTACATCATTACAGTTTTCGTTGCCCGTGTTAATATTTTGCTTTATATAAATTGTTTCGCCTCGTTTACACAGGAGACAACACTTTTGTTTATATTTATTTAAAGCACACACATTTGCTAATTTGAAATAACAACGAGTATACTGCCTTCCGGCTTCTCATGGGCTCGAACCCTCAACCTAGTATTGATTGTGGTCTGCCAACATATAGATATGACAGCACTTTCATTGAGAGTACAAAGGAAATATTTTATTTATTATCATCTTCACTTATTTTTGTTCTTTAATTTATTTGTATGTCCACGATACAGCCTGAGGACCCAACCAGGCTTGGCAAAACATCACCTAGGCTAACTGTGTTGTAATAAAAATGTATGCTATTTTTGAACCAATAAAAAAAATAAAATAAAAATAAAAAATTATTGTTATTGATTTCGGGTATAATGACAGCAATAATAAAATTAAAAAAAAGTAAAGTTAATTTCCTCTGTCGAACTTGTTTAAAAATGAAAGAGACTTGATCTATATATACTATTCTAAAAGCTGCAAGTTAAATTTGATAATGCTAGCCCTTTTTATAGTTATCGATTATCGGAATCAAACACAAATTGACAACTGCCACTGAATATTTTTATTATTATTAATTTCAGCTTTATAGCTCTCACGGTTTGACTTGTGCGTTTGTCAACGTTCAGTCAGACACTCAAAAGAAACCTACTTCTAAGTTTCAGACATCTGCTTTGTCTATATCTATAAATACATCTACATATGCCTGAGTTTAGCTTAGAAGTACACATTCTAAGAACTGGAAAATCAAAAGCATTTAGTTGCCATAACAACTAAAGAGTAAACAACAACAACAACGCCGGCAACGACATTGGCAACAGCAATATAAATCGCCAGCTGGCAACAACATCATCACTATCATGCGGCATTGCATAAAGCGTACGACTTGAACAACTGCAAAAAAAAACATCCATTATGGAATTTGAACCTCTTTAAGTTCACAAACCATAAAGCCAGGTTGTTTCGCAACGCCAGGTGGCAAATGAAAGAAATTCTCCGGGAGAAATGCACAAGTTTTTGGTCAAAGCAAACAGTTTTAGCCAATTCAGGGCCACACTTGCAGTGGCTATGGGTCGAATTTGTAAAACTTTTGTTCAACAGCCGCAAATATTGCCCTCAATCTAATTAATTTCAAGCATGAATACATAAACTTTTCGAACTAAGCTTTAGAGTCTATTAATTTTCGGGGCGAGTGGTGGGTTACTGTGCTCTGCCAGGAATCTATTAGGCTGTAAACTTCTTCCGCTGCAGACACGCACACATTGATTAATTTTAAGACAATAATCATAAAGGCGTTGCCCACCTGACCACAACACCCCCCCCCCCTCTCTCTCTCTCTCCCCACCACCCAACAACACTAACGAAAATACCGCCTTTGGCTTGTTGGTCCGTTGTATTCAAAATGGCGCACGTGCCTGTATATATATATATATACATATGTATATATACTGTGTAGCATACTTTGCAGCGTCTGTATTTCAGTAAACCAAAGCACGTTGCTCGGCGTTTGGGCTCCTTCTCGGCCAAGTCTTTCGGCCGCCAGCAGAAGTTTTCTTAGTTAATTTGCTGGCTTCCACGCTCATTGTTCAACTTAAAGCCAGCCAAAGGCGTAGAAACTTAATCAAATTTGTTCTTGGTGCTCTGCAGCTGTGCTGGCAGATCTACTTTTTTTCTAAAATTAGAAATTATTTCACATAAAAGCTTTGTTTTCGACCGATTATAGTCTAAGTTGGGTCAAGATATGTTAAAAAAAAAAACACTTAAAACCAATAATGCTTTTCAAGATTTCTCTTATAGATATTTATGTTATACTTAGTAATCCGATGTCAATAAGATTATGCACATGTGTAAAGAAATTTCTAACACACGTAAAGCTTGTAAGTGCCAAGTTACAAAACTAAGCATTCGACCGATCATTCTTATGGCGGCTATATCATACAGTGGTCCGAAAAGTTTCCTGTTGATAGCTGTCAAACTGAGAGATTTGTTTATATATTGTCAAAGTCATACTAGGAAATTGGTCTATTGCACTTATTTTTGGCTTTTAAGCTTATATTTAGCTTATTTAACTCTATTTTTCCCTCTTAAACTAGCCTTTTTGCAAGCAAGCATCACTAGTTCCTTCTCTTAATGTTGTTGTTCCCACGTTTTGGCGCAAATTTTGCCTTATTTGTGCTGTTATCCTGGCCGAGCTTGGCACGCAATCGAGGCCAACAGAGCCAAGGGGACGCTACGTTAACTCGTTCGGGGTAGATGGTAGCTGGGTTCAAAAAGATTTCACCTGACAAATAAACTTGCACAAACTGTTTGCGTGTTTGGCTGTTATTTATAATATGCTCGCCCATTCTCCTTCCCCATGCTCCTCTAGCGAAAAGCCTTCAACTTGACCACGGACGCCACTTGCAAGGCACAGGCCACAGTTTTGAAAAATTTAACATTTCAAGTTGCACCATCTTGACTTTTTGGTCTTGCTCGATGTGGCGTTTAACTTTTAATTGGATTTTAGTTGATTTTGTTTTAACGTTGCTTTCTAGTTGTTGTTGCTGTTGCAGCTGCTGCTGCTGCTAATATAAGCGCATAATTTTCACAAACATTTTTCCACTAGCTGACCGCCATTCATTAATATTTTTCCCATTTCGCATTCGCATTTAGGAGTTGTTCGTAATATTCTCATCATTATAACTACTTTGAACATGCACACTAATCGGGGCTTTCTAAATTATCAAGCCAAGAAATCACACAGTTTTTTAAATTTTTTGTATAAAAATATTCATATATAAAAAAAAAACAACCAATTTTTAGACCGATTGATTAATAAGATTTAACTGATATATAAGTAGCATAGTTAAACTAGTAAACGCTGGGCTTGGTCTAGATACCTTGATAAACTAATAAGTTTTTCATATAAGAACATACTTTTCATCGTTCAGATATCAAGGCGAGCCCATGCCAAATTTCAAGACGATAGCTTTAAAACTGAGAGACTAGTTCGTATAGAAACAGACAGATAGTCTGACGGGCATGCCTGTATCAACTTGGCATTTAATGCTGATCTATAATATATATAGTTTATGGGGTCGAAGATATCTCCTACGCGTTACACATTTCATGGCAAAACTATAGTATCCTCTACAAGGATGTAATGATTCAAGCTGGTAATTAAAGTAAGTTAACTTATAGAAACTAAATGGCACCCAAAGTCACGTTTTGTGTGCACCTGTTAAGACGAAAGTTCACTAACACTAGAGATGTTTATATTTTAAGAAATATATTTTTTGAAAAGCCTTAGCAGTTAATGTACAAAAAAAAAAGAAATCATTTACTTTAAATTTAGCAAAAGGACTACTCAATGCTTTTACCATAAGTACTTACAAAGGTCGGTTTCTTAACTCTTACCAACATTCTTTTGCATAATTTTTGAATTAAGGTCGTTGCCTTTGTGGATTAAAAACGAGAAATATTTTACAAAAGAGTCTTGAAAATAAATTCCACAGTTTGGACGCTCAAACACTTCTTTCTCAAACATATAGCAGACACCACAAAAACTCCCACACACACACAAACGACAACACCCTAGACCCAAGCAGTTCTCCCATTTCCGCATCACATTCCAAGCATGCATCAATGTAAACACATTCAAAGCTATCAACAATTTATCACGGCAACTGAACGAAATCTCATTTGCAAAAGAGGAAAAAGTTTTGCGTGCGCTGGGGGTGTGAAAGGGGCAGGCGGTGTGGGCGTTTGTTTGTGACGTAACGGCGCCGCAGTGATTGTCAAACTGTTCAGCGGGCGCTGCTGCCGCAACAAACAAAGAGCCACAAAGCAGGAAAGCGAGACAGAGAGGCAGGGAGGAAGAGGGAGAGAAACAAATAAAGACGGAATCGGGAACCAACGAAATTTATGTTTTGTGCCCAACGCATCAAAAGGAAATACGAGAAAAATTCTAAAAACAAAAATGGTTTCAAGATACCCCAAACATTTTATGAAAATAAGGAAATAAGGAAATCATGTTTAACTTTTGCCCAGCTAGACAATAAAATTGTAAAATTGAGGAAAAAGGAAAATGCTTTCCATTTCACAGCAAACCATATATCAAAATACGCATACATGCGACTCGCATAATTCTTAACCCGATTTGATTGCCCTCCCGCGACTGCTGTGTGGCCACCAAACAATCTACGACTCCAGCTCCCTAACCATCGAACGTCGTGAACTTTGTTTCATTTGCGTGAAAAAT